TAGTAGAAATACCACAAATGAACGTACATGCATTTAATTATGCATTTTTTCATTGGAGTTATGTCTAAAAACAGCTTCCAAAAACTGCAGCTCTCTTATCTGCTTACTTTGCAAACGCTCCCCTTCTAACTACACCCAGACTTTCTGTGACTCACCAATCACAGACTTCCCAATGCAGCTCAATGAGAAGTTTTTGCAAGGCAGTAGCTCTGGGCAATTGCTGCAAATAAGCTAACCAAACAAGAATCAGTTGTATTATTGAAAAGCCAGGGGGTGTAACCAAAATAATTTATTAAAGTGTCAATTTCTATTGAAATCTGCACTATTTCCAAAATGAAAAAAAAAAAAAATGACACTTCACACAGAAAGCTTTTCAGCGAGCAAAAGTACTTTAAATGTGAATATTTAATTGAGAATATTTTTCCCTTTAAAGACAGGACCTTTCGATTTGTTTATCCTTGTATTGAAAGACCTATGTCCATTTTATAATATCTGGAAGTGGACTTTGGATGCAACGATTAGCACTGAAAAACAGCATGTATCAAAGGGCTTGGCAAACATGTTGATGGATAAATGTTACTGAAATGGACAGTGAGAGCTATACAACGTTTATGAGCACTAAACATTTTTAGACTGAAGTAAGTCACACCGACTTATGGAGCCTCATCCTTGGCTGCACCAAACTACAGTCATTGTAATTGAAAATCACAGTGAGAACACGCAAGCGTCCATTGTAAATGCTTTCCTATGAGACCGGCTGAATGCGCGCGAAGCTCTTGCCGCGCATACACATTCAGCCGAAGAGGAGGATCGGAGGCGGAGAGCTGGAATAAAGGAGAGTTTAACCCCTTTCCTCGCTATCCAGCCGGCGGGAGGGGGTCCCTGAGGATGGGGGCACCCTCAGGGCAATATAGTGGTCCTTTAACAGCTCAAATACATGAAAATGTAAACAGAGTATACATATGGAGTCCAAAAACGCATTTCGATTTTATTTGAGATTAGTCTTGAAGCAGAGCAGTTAATGTGAATATTTAATTCTGGAATAGTTTATTTTTCACTTTAAAGACAGGACCCCATAAATATTTAATCTGGTACAGGAGGCTTAAAATATATCATAAGACTTCTTGACTGGAAATGAGCTCTTAGCTATAAATAATAAAATGGTCAAATTCATTCAAGCTGCTAAACTATTTAATCTTAGAGTTATTCTTTAAAGATGTTATGATTTTAAAGGGTACTCCAAGCAACATGACCACCTCAGTGATTTCAAGTGATGATGGTGCCTGGAGTATAAAGTGCAGCATTTAACTACGGCAGCGACATCTGGGTGACATCAGCCAGTCCAGAACTTGAGTTCCGGGCTTTCTAAGGTCAATTCTGTGCAACTTTTATTGCACAGAATGTTAGCCATTGGCAGAGAGAGAGAGAGAAAGAGAGGACAGCTGGGGTTTCAGCCAATGAATGGCAATGTGAAAAAGGTAATGCTTTATATTCAAGGGTTAAAAGTACATGACCACCGCACTTAAGATGAAGTGTCTTAATGACAAATTGTGCTTTTCCCTGCAAATAAGACATCCCCTGGAAATAAGTCCGATCTAATATAAGCCCTTACCCGAAAATAAGCCCTAGTTGAGATCGTCGCTAGTTTGCTAATCTATGTTTGGGCAAGTTTCCCAGAACATAGATTCACAGGATTCCATGCCCTAGTTAACTGGTCTATGTTCAGGGGAATTCCCCCGAACATAGTCCTGCTTTCTTGCACATGCCTACTACCATTTTCCCCCTTAAAAATTAAGACATCCCCCAAAATAACCCCTAGTGCATTTTCTGGGAGCAAAAATTAATATAAGAAACGGAAGTTACCATGCCTAAAAAGTCCCTTAAAGTAATATCCACATTCCTGTTTATCTTTTCTGTGTTTAACCTCTGTGATGATTACCATCAGATTTTTTGTGATTTACTTACTAAACACTATAAGAAACGGGAGTCATGTTTAGAAATGGTTTCTCTTTTTTTTGTATTTAGATGTGTCCCCAATGTCTTCCACTAATTGGTCTCTGCATATGTCCCAAAGGGACACTCCAAAATTAATAATGTAATACGATATAGCATTTTTTTTTTCATGGCAGACTGGAGGCTTCAGAAATTCAGAGCCTGTCCACAAAACAATACTTGTTCAGGGTCAGTTTATTCCCGAGTCACTTAAGTGTTTCCTTACTTCTGCCTTCACTTTTTGCTGATCACATTTTTTTAATCATTTTTAAATTTACTTTAAGCTAGCCTCTGTAATTAATGGTGGAAATGGTTTCACAAACAAACAAGGCTGGCTACCTTGGTATTAATGTGTTTGTCTAAGGTTACTGTGGCACACTGTGGCTTATAAATAGTTGTAGTAAAAATCAGTGTAGTTATAATATTGCACCAATGACCAGTCACATCAAAAGAGGTATTTTACTTCCTGCTTCGGCTCACAAGATCCACCCAACTTTTGAGCACAGCGTTTACACGCCGAGTACATTTCTCCTATCCTTTCTTCTGCTCTCAAATGAGCCTAATTTAAAGAACTATTATAGGCACCCAAACCACTTCAGCTTAATGAAGTGGTCTGGGTGCCAGGTTAACCCCCCTTTTTTTTTTTATTATAAACATAGCAGTTTGAGAAACTGCTATGTTTATAATAGGGTTAATCCAGCCTCCAGTGGCTGTCTCTTGACAGCCGCTAGAAGTGCTTGCGTGCTTCTCACTGTGAAAATCACAGTGAGAAGACGCCAGCATCCATAGGAAAGCATTGTGAATGCTTTCCTATGGACTGGCTGAATGCGCGCGCAGCTCCTGCCGCGCATGCGCATTCAGCCGAAGAGGAGGAGAAGAGCTCCCCGCCCGGCGCTGGAAAAAGAGGTACGTTTAACCCCTTCCTCTCCATCCAGCCCGGTGGGAAGGGGACCCTGAGGGTGGGGGCACCCTCAGGGCACTATAGTGCCAGGAAAACAAGGGTTTTCCTGGCACTATAGTGGTCCTTTAAGCCATGTCTGCACATGTGCAAGAGTTGGCAGCTTGAATCACAAAATCCATTTGGGTGAAGAACAAGTCTAAATCAGAAATACTCTCCCAATATGATGAAAGTGTAACAATGACTGCTATTACTTATCCCATAGTTGACTACTGGGTAAAGAATTATGGGTTAGGAAAACAAAACACAGATCATAATAAAAAGGTTCCTGGTTGCAGGTCTTGCATGTCTGTTAGGGCCAGTCTGCTGATGTACAATGTCTTTTGCAAGTGTAGGAACGTCAAAGTTTTAAGGCATTTTTATTTTAATTTACTTTTTTTCTGCACGTTATAATTCATTAGAATCAAGGTAATTTTCAACAAATTGTATCTTATGAAGATCACCACTTATCATCCACAGAGGTTTGCAGTGATTTTTGTTTAGGATAGTTTAAGTAAACTTTATACCCTATTTCACATGCCATGTGATCAATACACTTATATAAACAATTAAAAATGACAATCATTGTACACACCATTAGTTCCTGTGTTTTTGTAGATTCTTACTTTAGATGGCACAGCTACACTGTATTAAATCAGGTCCAAAAATTAAACGATGGTTTGTATTCTTAGAACCATTTCTTTAATTTCCATGTAGATTGTAAACCACAAGTAATTATAATGGTAAAATAATGTAAAAAAAAAAAATATATATTTTAAAAAGCAATTTGAGACGTTAAAAAAATAAAATAAATAAAAACTCAAGACTATGAGATACACACAGAAGCAAATTTATTTCTAAGACAGAACAAATATAGTGGCAAAACATCAATAGGCAATATCACTCAGTAACTGGGGTAAACATTACTGACTTGAGTTCAAGTAGATACAAAATATACTTAGGGTATTTTTTTAACATTATTTTTGTTTTGTTTATAACAGCAGCTCATGTATTGTGTGTTTGTTTCATTTTATCCAACAAGACTATTTCGGTTTTAATCCATAGGGCCAAGAAACTTTAGCAAAAGGGACTGTAAAGTAAAGCTGTCATCAATTCAGCGATGTTGGAAAGAATAAGCCTTTTCTGTAATGAGGAAAATTGCACTGAAAGAACGTCATGCCCAAGTCCCTTATAAGAACCAGCAGTGGGGCATCATATCTACCATGTATAGTGAAGAAGGTTGGAGAAAAATATTTTTTTATTGGCATTTTTCATAATGCCTTAAAATTAGCACCACTTAAAGACAAATAATTTATGGATTGTTATACAAGCTTGTGTTACATACATATATCCATATTCAAAAGCATCATCATACACAATCCCTGTATACTAAAGACTGCTGGACGGAATAAGACACTTTGGGGAAGGGTAAAGGGTCATAGGGAAATCAAAGCCACTCCTATATATCTCCAAGCAAACACATACTCATATTTACAAGCATAACCATAACCGAGATTAACGTTCCAGCTCAGGTCTGTCCATCGAGGTTTGTTTTGTTTCCGAATTTCATTGATTGCATGTCCATAATAAAAGTGGCCACATCGGAGCCCTTGAAAGACAGCACCTTAAAGCTTGATAGAGTGGAATTTGTGGAGCTCAGTATGAATTGTGGTTATTAACCCCTTAAGGATACATGACATGTGTGACATGTCATGATTCCCTTTTATTCCAGAAGTTTGGTAGCTTAAGGGGTTAAGCAATCTCAACAATCTACCCAACATAAAATAATGTATTTGCATGTTTGGTTAGATACCTGATCTTCACACCCAACAGCAACTTGTTCTATGACCACCATACTGCTACAGCAAAATACTATCGTGGTGGCAACTTTTTATTTTATTTTTTGCGAGTCAATAAAACAGTCACTGCCCGTTTTCTCTTTTTTTTCCCATATATATATATATATATATATATATATATATATATATATATATATAAATAATTTTCCTCACTTGCTTTATGATTTGTTTTATTTTCCAATGCAAACTACATGACAAACAAAAAAAGTACCATGCAAAAGAAATTAACTTTATAAAACAAGTGTCACTGTATTTGTGTTTAATATTCGTAAAGTACCGTATTTCATTTGGAATATTTTGTTAGTGTGATATAATCATGAACTACTGTCAGAGCTAGCATTAAGCTTCTTGGCCATATCAGGATTGTGTGAAGTCGTAACCCCTTCCATGGCATGGGAAGGGTTAGTTAGAAAGTGTCCGGTAACTCCTTGGCAAAAACAGACATGTTGTGGTTTCTGTATATGAAGCATGGTTTCAGAACAGAGCTGCTATCTTAAAAAGAAAAAAAAATACATAAATAAAATAAGGAAAAGAAAAGAAAAAAAAGGGAAGAAAATGAAAAAGAAATGAAACACCCTACATATAAAAGTTTTACTTGGATTGTCAATGAATCTTTGACAGGAAATTCAAGTTTATCAAAATATTGTTCTTATGTCATTATAAACGGACAACGCTGCAATACGGAACATGTTTTTTCTTTTATTCAAGCTTTGCTTAGCAGGTGTGCAGTTAGCATCTATAAAAGCACCATAAGAGGAGATAGCACCATGGATCAAAAGTTATTTGTTTTAGATGCTAACTGTCAACATGCATCGAAAAACTTGGAATTGGCGATGGTATATGTTAAGGTCCTATACAAGGCAATCGATAGTTATATTATTACAGTACAATACATTTAAAAGAGAACACATTAAAAGTACAGTACAAAAGGGAATTATCACCATGCGCCCCCTCTCTCGGCATTGTAATCTGGAAATCCATGATTAAAATGCAGTTGAAGGGTGTTGGACACAAAATATACCTACACGTTTCATCACAGCCCGGCTTTTAATTTTTGTCCCATAGCTTTAGGTTGTAAGCGGTGTCTGTAAAACTATACACAAACTAGTTCTTTTATATATAAAAAAAACAAAAACAAAAAAAAGGTACACGTACATCAAGTACAAACTATAACCAGAAAAATTATTCTAGAATTTATGCAGATACAGTGTTTACCCAGATAACGACTTACCCTCATACATCGAGTTACAAAGTATTTATTGCGATTAGTTGCAGCAACGTTTATGTTTAATAAGCGGCTTTAAACATACTTAAGTCATTTTCCACACCAAGATTTTTAAGGTGGTTTGATGCAAAAGGTAATGGATTACAAACCGGGGATGTAAAGGGGTAGATATATCTTACCATAGAAAGGGGTCTCACAACTCATACATTGAAGTCTAAAACATACAGCCAAGTACAAAGTTCAGAGCTTTAAGTGATATTTGAGTATCACATATAATCCACCATGCTAATTTTACCTATGATACTGGTTTTTTTTGTCAGCATTTAATATCGTCACTTTATAGCTGTGTTTGTAATCGTAACACGCACACACTTCAAACAGTTTTTATATACTGCCGGTACACTAAAATCTCTTATACCTAGGGAGAACTAAAATAAACTATTTTAAAACATTATATATCTCACTCAAACTCTTTATTATAAGAAGTGTAACCATGGAAGCAAAAACTCACAAATATTTAAGTTGGGTAAAAAACCCAAAACATTAAATTAAGAGTAGTAATCATATTCTGTCAAATAAATGCATTTTTATCTAGAATAACCAATATTCCATAAACTACATTTTTTTGGGAATGAGACAATGGGATAAATATATAAAAATGTATCAAGGTCTAATAGTGGAGGCAACAAGTGTGGAACCCAGAGACATTTCTGCTGATTGATCCACAACAATGCTGCAGAACTGTATGCAGCCTATTTTAAAAATTGAACAGCGAGCGCGAAAATTCATGTCTAATGTTTGCCATCACAACCTCACGATGTGTGTGGGCTGATCAAAAGGCATGTTTTGATGTACAAAGTAGCAAATTACCATTTATGGGCTTTATAGTTTCATTGCGCAACTAAAGGTTATTTTGGTTTAGAAAATAACTGGAAAAGAGAAATTTGAATACAAGTGTCCCACATTCTTAGTTGGGAAAAAATGTTGCAGATTATTTAAATAACAAATGATCTAGATTTTAAATAAGATACCTACAGATCAATTGTATTTCAGGATTTTTCCTCAATATGGGATAATATTCTCCCATCAAATAATATGCTGAGAGACTACAGGACTATAGAGAAAGATAACCAGGTTTATTTGTTTAATTAGACATAATTACTCACCAATTGCTACAGAAGAAATTACTGACATTCAAATGGCAACATAAGTTACAAAACGGATTTTCTATTTAAAAAAAGCAAAGTATTGAAGAAAAGTAAAACATATTGACTGCAGTAAAGGATTAGCAAACTGCATGCTGTCAAAAATAGCGATTCTCAGACTGCCTCTATATAGATTACAAAAATGAAACAGAAAATCATGTTTGCCATTTACTTATGAAGTCACATTTAGACACTTATCTACATTTGTTAGCAGTTGCTATGCCATCGATATTGGGCACTTTATGTTCCTTGTAGAACTCACTATATCATGCTGCTGGAACACAAGGAAAGGTAGGTATATGCATGGTTTAATATACTAATAAAGGTTGCTACATTAATAATGGATTTAAATCAGAGTGTACAAACAACTTGTAATTTCATTCAGCTTCTTTAAAGGACCACTCTAGGCACCCAGACCACTTCAGCTTAATGAAGTGGTCTGGGTGCCAGGTCCCTCTAGGATTAACCCTTTTTTTTTTTTATAAACATAGCAGTTTATAGCAGAGAAACTGCTATGTTTATAATAGGGTTAATCCAGCCTCTAAAGGCGTTGACAGCCGCTAGAGGCGTTTGCGTGCTTCTCACTGTAAAAATCACAGTGAGAAGACGCAAGCATCCATAGGAAAGCATTATGAATGCTTTCCTATGAATGCGCGCGCAGCTCCTGCCGCGCATGCGCATTCAGCCGAAGAGGAGGAGGAGAGCTCCCCGCCCGGCGCTGGAAAAAAGGTAAGAGTTAACCCTTTCCTCGCCATCCAGCCCAGCGGGAGGAGGTCCCTGAGGGTGGGGGCATCCTCAGGGCACTATAGTGCCAGGAAAAGAGTATGTTTTCCTGGCACTATAGTGGTCCTTAAATGCAAAGCCAGTTTCATAAAAAAAAAAACAAATTGATTAGTAAGAGACATGGAATATACAGTTAGACAAAATCAGTTGTCTTAAGTACTTGTCACTTACTATTAAACCATGCTTACTAAAGCCCGATTATTTATAAGATCATGTTAGTCCAATAAAAAAAAAGTTAAAAAAAATATATATATATATATTTTTTTTTTTTAAAAGAATTTCATACCGCAATACTCTTCTTATTTTGGATATATATATGGATATATATATATATATATATATATATATATATATATATATATATATATATATATATATATATATATATATATATATATATATATATATATATATATATATATATATATATATATATATTGTTTTATTTAAAAACAACCAAAACGTTACAAGTATATACCATATTGCTGAATTTTTATTTAACATCGAGGGTAGCTATACTTACAAACTGGAACGGAATTACAAATTAGCCATACCTTCCTAAATTTGGCTACATAATTCTGCAGACTTGGATGAACATTAATTCTAAACTCTAAATTAAGGAATGATACTCGACCAGACCATTAACAAGCCACCTACAGAGCTAGAGCTATCTCACAAACTGGATATTTTAGTCATCGAAGATCTAGCATTTTACATTTTGCAATTATGTCTGCTGAAATGTAATACAAAAGCACAACAAACATTCTTTGCTTTATTCAAACACATACTTGGTTTCATGCTCAATATCTAAATCTTAAGTGTTTCTGTGATGGGTATATCAACTCCTGCTCAACTGAGAGAGCTTAAAACTTCATCTATAAATTGTGTGTAGAATTCAAAGTAAACGGTCTCTCTCTAACTGCAACACAACATGAGAAAATGATTGACAAGTAAGAGCAGGAGAATCCTTGATGGTTCTACTGGCTCTTCTTCACTGTTCTCACTTTGCAAGCAAGACACAGGAATAGAGTGACAAACATCATATGTGCTGCTATTTAATATAGTGTTAACACTATAAAGGTAGGTACACCCTGCTGTGGGAAGGGTTCTCAAGTAGTTTCAATCACGTAGGAGGAAGGCAGGAGGTAGCATGAAAGAGGGAACGGATGCTGCATTGGTACAACACCCACAAATTTGCCATGATGGCAAAAGTGCTGGAGAAGCAAAGTATTTAATATCTCCTAAGAAATAAAATATATAGTTTAGCTTTATTATACACTATACATTTATTAATCAATAAAATAATAGCACCTAAAGTGAATCTGTAATGCCAGGTACAGTTTAACCACAAAGCCGTCAGCAACCATACTGCACACACCAAATATCAATTTATATATTTTTTATCATGCACCAAACTTTTCAAATAACATGCTTAAGATTACAAGGAACTGGCTTTTTTGAAATAACCATTGCTCTCAGATGCAGAAGCAAAACTTTATCTGAGGTTCTTAAATATTTCCATGATTCAGATGTGGAATGAAAAATAGAAAAAGGTCTTATTTTGCACGAGAAGCTTTCAGACCATCAAACTGCAGCTCTGGAATATGTGCATATGTTTCAATTTAGAAAAAAAAGCAAACATGAGCTAGACAAACATTTGCAGGTAGGATAATTACTAACTTTGATCTTGTGTGTTTTTTATTCATACCATTACAATGCGCACACACTGAGGTGGTTATGGTGCCAGGAGAGCCCTGGGGCTGCACCCACCGTGTAAAAAGTCTTGGATTAACTTTTTACCTGGGGTCCGCCATTACCAAAAACGGCCCCATCTCAACCAGACGCTCTCAACCCTTAGCCAAGTTTAGATGATTAGTTGAAAGCAATCCGCAGATGCTCTAAGCCAATGAGATGGCATTGACGGCTTAACTGATGAGAGTTAACAGGACCTCTGAGCAGAACCTTCTAGCTCTCATTTCTGGCTAAGACGACGGGTGGAGTGTTGCCCCAGCAGAACCCTAATAAGAAGTCAAACCATTAGAAAACTGTTTGACTACTTATATTGGGAACGCCAGTGCACTTCAAGCACCATAACCACTACAGCGCAAAATATTTTTCTATATCAAGACTTTCCTGCATTTTAATACCATTTGTTACACAAGGTTGAAAAAACCTCTGCAATACATATGGACTAGAGAATTATGTTGTCTCATTGTCATTGTCCATTATTGACCCAAATGGAACAAGTCATGCTTATCTTTAACAATAGTCTTGTCTGCATAGATGTACATTTTATCTGATGTACTGTATGAAAACTCGCTGTGATGTTACACTGCTCCCCCCTCCCATCCCCCCCTTTTTTTTTTCTGTGCCCCTTTCCCGATTTGTGAAAAATAAAAATGACAAATTAAAAAAAATTAAAATAATATTGTCCTTAAATGGGAAAAGAATGGATTTTAGCACTGAAATTAAAGAATATACAATGTAAAACATTGCAAGTGTCTCTACAAGTCTGTATTTTATATAAGTAATATCTTTAACAAAAATGTATATTTATGTATGCTTAGTCGACTTTACCTATTTCCTAATAAGCACAAACGTCAATGGAGATAGTTTATAAAGAACAATTCTGGGACAAAGTTTTAAAAACAGGAGAAATCACTATGTAAACGAATATATGTTCTTGATTATTCCACCGCAATGGCTGTATTAAGTTACAATTAGCAATGCTTTTTTTTTTGCACTAAAATAGAACTCTTCTCTTGGCTTTCAAACAGCAGAATGCTTAAGAGCACAGAAGTAGGGGACGGATGCTCTGTTTAACCTCTCTCCTGCCACAGGTCTAACTCCACCTCCAGCAGAGTCATAGCAGTGTCATCAGCAAGTCTGGAACTAGAGTCTGGGATGGATAATGAATGACTATGGCCGCAGATCTGCAGAAGTGCATCACTAGACTATGAGGGAGCCTCGGAACTACAGATAAGGGGGAAAACTATTGCTAAATGGTTTGCCCTACTAATGGTGAACTGGGCCATGGTGTTTTTAGTCTCATCACCATTACAGCATGTTGTAGTGCTTAAAATGATTGTTGTAACCCTTCAATAAAGTGGTTATAAGGAAGCAATTTTCTCATCTTTCTCATGCTACCTAGACATAGAAACATAGAATGTGACAGCAGATAAGAACCATTCGGCCCATCTAGTCTGCCCAATTTTCTAAATACTTTCATTAGTCCCTGGCCTTATCTTATAGTTAGGATAGCCTTATGCCTATCCCACGCATGTTTAAACTCCTTTACTGTGTTAACCTCTACCACTTCAGCTGGAAGGCTATTCCATGCATCCACTACCCTCTCAGTAAAGTAATACTTCCTGATATTTTTAAACCTTTGCCCTCTTATTTAAAGGACCACTATAGTGCCAGGAAAACATACTCGTTTTCCTGGCACTATAGTGCCCTGAGGGTGCCCCCACCCTCAGGGACCCTCCCGCCGGCTCTGGAAAGGGGTAAAAACTTACCTTTTCAGCTGGTGAAGCTCTCCTCCTCTCCGCCGCCCGGCGGAACGCGCAGCGCAGCAAGAGCTGCGCGCGCATTCGTCGCATAGGAAAGCATTTACAATGCTTTCTATGGACGCTGCGTGCTCTCACTGTGAAAATCACAGTGAGAAGCACGCAAGCGCCTCTAGTGGCTGTCAATGAGACAGCCACTAGAGGATTAGGGGGAAGGCTTAACCCATTCATAATTATAGCAGTTTCTCTGAAACTGCTATAATTATGAAAAAATGGGTTAACCCTAGCTGGACCTGGCACCCAGACCACTTCATTAAGCTGAAGTGGTCTGGGTGGCTAGAGTGGTCCTTTAAGACTATGTCCTCTTGTCCTACCTTTGTCTATATCCCACGTAAAATTTTATCACATCAGCCCTTAGAACAGAGAGTTCTAAAGCCAGTTCACAATGACAACTATGAGTCCAGGTTTCAATTTTAAACGATACAGAACAGAGATGGGTAAAAATTTTAATTCTGGACCACTGATGGTCCAGAATGGTCTGAGTAACACTTGGAGAGATTTATTAAAAAAGTGTCGTCAACGCTGTTATATCTAATTAGCAGGAGATGATCAGTGTAACACATTAAGCCAGCTATAAGGGTTATAATGCCAAGACTACCATGCTACCATTCCCCATGAAAGGGGCAAACTATTTTGCAATGGTTTGCCACCTGGACCTTGCCAGACGCCAAGTCTATTAGCATGCTGGCTGAATGGCATCCGGCTTCAGCAGAGACCAGATGCCAATTCCTCCATTCATTCATTGCCTGAGATCACCAGCACTGTGCACAGAATTTACATTAGATAGCCTAGAACTCTCATGCTGGCTGGTAATAAAGGCTGTGGTATTGTCATTGCACTGGGAATAACCTTCTAAATCTGTTCGGTCTAAATATACACCACTTTTGGTTTTAAATCAATCTGTGATATTTTGCGACAGAAAAATCAACTGTTGCAATTCACTTTTCTTTCTGCCACCAATTTGCTAGTCATCTGAAATGGAACTTCCTTTGAAAAATGGCAGAATATATCAAAGAAAATAATCTCAGAACACTTTAATAAATACAATCAAATTAAGGATGGAACTTAACCATCAGTTTTCAGAACACTTTGAAAACGTCCCCAGTGTAGCTGAATAAATTAAATAGGTTGAAAAAGTATTCCTTTAACTGAATGCTTTTAATATTAAAGAGAACATTTGGAGATGTTCAAAAATCTGAGGAAGTCTGCATTGTAAAGGAGAGTTGCCATTAGTTTAGGCTTATATGTGCGTATTCTGGTCATTGGCCGTGATTTTAATTGGCTTTTTATTTTCTGAAAAGCACCAAACAAATCATTTATTTTGTCTCTCCTGGCAACATTTCACTGCAATGCAGGGCTTCCTGAAGCAGTAAAATGTAAAAAAAAATAAAAGACGAACGGGAAAGAGGAAAAAAAAAAAAAAAAGGCAAATTTCAGAAAATGGATAGATAAAAAATATGATATTCATAGAGTATACACATATATATTTATAATTTGTCATTTTATATTAAACTGCTGCCAGTTTATTTTATACATTGCATCCTTTACAACCCATGTGAAGGAAAAAAAAGAAATAAGATGTCTTAAATACAAAATTAGTATTTTCTTTAGCGTTGCAGCTACAGTGGGGTTGACATGGTTAAACGGACAGCCTACAATGCTACTGCACGCTTTGCTATTTGAGAATTTTCAAGTTTTTACTACCATAATCCCATGCCTTTTCTTTTTTGCATAATTAATTCATTTGGAATTCATCCCTCAGCCTTATGCTGCAAGACCATGACTAAGTGCAATTTTGTTCCAGTGTCATTCTGACACAAACAACAGTGCCTCACCGTGCAATTAGCCCTACAACAACAGACATCTTCAATTATATGTTCACTGCTGGAAAAATATCACTGAGTGAATAATGTAGCCGGTCAAAAAAGGTAAACTACTCACCAACGTAAATAATAGCCCTTGGGACTATTGAACACATATATATATATATATATATATATATATATATATATATATATAAAAAACAACACTTTTTGGAGACATCTACTGAAAAAGCAGAACGCTAAATATCAAATTAGGACACAAGCATGGAAGCATGTCCATCAGTCTACGATGGTGATATCATATAAAGGAGTTGAGCAACAGTATTTCTTATAAACACTTTGCAGGGTTAAACTAACAGAATGTGAATCAATATATTCCATATCCAACCATTAATAAGCATCGACAGGTCCTGTAAAGTTTGACAAGCTATACAAAAGTCATAGCAATACGCAAAAGGTGAAAAGGACTAGGTTCCATCCTACAGGAGGTAAGAGTCCTTGAGATGGTGGAGGACAGCAAGGGTTGTTTTTCCTTTACTGCCAACATTGATAACTTTAGGGATGCTGCTTAAAGCCAGTTATGTTAAATTGCCATGAGTTTTAAAGGAGTACAGTAATAACTATAACCACTGTACCAGGCTCCATTCCTTAATTATGTGTCAAGCCATTTTCAAACAGCTTGACATAAACCGAAGGCCCCATGACGCCAATTCTTTCATTGTAATTGTTCTCTGCGTTATAGCCCCTCGGGGAGAATAATATGCTTATATGCAATGACAGCCTAATGGATCTTACATCATTCAATAAGTAAATCTGTAAGTAAATACCAGACTTACTACAACAACAACAACAAAAATAAGCAATTAGAAGAAAAGCCTTCAACAAAGGATATAAAGGTACCGAGAAGAAAAAGAAAAGGTGTGTCTATATCTATATATTGTTTTTTTTATTTTTACATAGAGAAAGAGCAATACCATTAAGAATGTTTACAGAAAATCCTACTATTTAAATGACACAATCTGTTCTCTTTATTTATACAAAAAAACAGCTTCCACTGAGAAGAGCCGGTAAGAGAAAAACGAAAACAGATACCCAGTTACCAACGTTACTGTTACATCCAGAAATTGGGTGCTTGACCTACTTTTGCAGTTTAATCACATTTTCGACTTGTTAATTTATCTTTGAACAAGATGGAACAAAAAAAAAGCTGAACATGGAGTGTCATTAGAGTGTGTTATATTTTCACAAAATTCTCAAAAGTGAGTCCTTGAGAAACAACTCTAATTCAGGATTCCCTTTCTCAACATGTAATATTATAAAAACACTTTACTCTGTAGTCTCCACTCCATATCCTAGAAACAGACGGAGGTAAAATTTCAGTATTTTATCATGTTCAATAGCCAACGTAAAAATGTTTATTAAAACGAAATGAGCTTGGGGGCGTTGTAGGTAGTCAGAGCAAGGAAAACAAAACACAACAGAAGGCCATATTGTGACTGTGCACGGTTTGCATTTTGCTATGCAAGTTTCCCAAAATCCTGTGCATAATTCTCAGATTGAATAGACCTCGGAGTGTCTCAGTGCAACTGCACAAAACCCTTCTTTTCACAAGTAGTGGGTAGTTGGCATGTAGCTAAACTGTCTGAGAATCTTAGTACAGCAAAGAATGCATGACTGTCAAAACGAGTGAGCCTGCATATTTCACACTGAAGTATGGAGGCTCCCCGGAAAAGGGTAAAACAGCATGCATATCAAAAAGCATTCAAGGTATTGATTTATTTAGTCTGTGTTTCATTCCATGTTTTACATGCGGGTCTAATCAATAATAGGATAGATCAGGAAAACTCACAAGCAGTGAATTAATCCATTGTACAGCGCTACAGAGTTTGTTGGCGCTATATAAATAATAAAATAATAATAATAATTAATGAATGCTTTCAGTAACTGCCAAGCAGTCCTAACTTTTCTGAGTTGATTTCTGTACATGCTCCGCTCAGGGAAGTCACAATGAACACAGATTTAGTATTACATACTCAAGCTTGATATTTTAGCTTCCTTTAGTCGCAAGTTTGTTTGAGCAGTGCCCCGATCGCCACTATATCCAACTACTTTGGATATAGATTTCTTGAATTTTTACACATTGCACAGGGTTGTAGAATATGGCTGACTACATTTATAATTACTCTGTCGTTTAAACATAACACCTATCAGTTACAAACTTTGGTGCATACTTATTATAAAGCAAGATATAAGAGAGTGCCACTCTGTGGATAAATGGGCACTACTAATCCATCTGTGACGACATATACCCTTCAACTGCCAATTGCAGTAATTATTTCATACATGGAACAATAACGTTTTTAGGAAACAAAGCACTGTAGATAAGACTCTTGCTTTTTGGGTAGAACCCAGATTAGATGGTACAACCATTTATGCAAGTGACATTAAAGGAACCCTTAATGGGAAGATAAATATATTAAAGTGGCACGGTCATCCCCGCCCCTCCGAAAAATGAGTATTTCATAAAGATAGAAGCTTTATGAACTATTCATATTGACCGACTTGGAATTCCACTAAAATTCCAATCAGGTCAAGAGACATACTGAGACAAACATAGGGGCTACTTCTCCTCAGCCTGACACTTCTAGACCATGGGTGGCGCTACCGCAGCCACCAGTGACTGTTGCAGGGAATTGGCTTTATCTCCCCGCATCCTTGTGTTTTAAAATGTTTATATTATATATATATATATATATATATATATATATATATATATATATATATATATATATATATATATATATATATTTTTTTTTATTATTTTTTTTATTTATTTTAGAACTAAATTTTTGCCTCCCCCACCCAGGCCCAGAGCACGCACATGCGTTCTGAGCCAGTGAAACAATCCAATCAAATACTTCTCTATGAAAAGCATTTGATTGGACTATGGTTGACGCAGAGTAACACCAAACAGAATGTGGAAATGAAGAGAGGAGGACATTGCCTGGTGCTGGATTCGAGGTAAGTGTTAATCTATTTAATGTTTTTTTAAACAATTAAATAGGTGGGTGGACAAGATAAATAGTGCCCCATAAGGCATTATAAAGATAAAACTAAAGAGTCAAGAAAAGGATTTTAGTTTTAATCTATGTGGGGACTGCCAACTTTAGCCCTATTTGGTCAGAAACACCATCTGCTAAGAATATGCCCAATATGAAGGTTTTTAACTGTACCAGAGCTCTTGCACATGACATTAGGATACACAAATGTACACCAGCTGATAATTTACTGCACATTTTTTGATCAGCTAAGCCGTGTTCCTGACCACAGGGGACCTAAAGATGGCTGCCCCCACTGAGCAAGGGTAAATCAGGAGCAATTTACTCAGGCGTTTGCATTACAAACCAATACACACAGAGGCTATAATACGTGCAATCTTTTATTTTTAGTAATAAAAAACTATGCACGTTTTCCTTTAAAAATAATCAGTGCCTTCTGTATAAATACCCAAACTATGATCTTACAAAAACTAAAGAAAACATTTACATATGATATATAAATATGAAAGTTTTAGTCATCTCATGCACTTTTTTTTTTTTTACAAACTCCAAGACAAAACGACTAATCTGACAGTAAAAATACATCGCTATTTACCATATGTTCCAGTCTGAGCCAGCCATATAAATGTAGCACACGGAGGCAAATGGATACTCTAATATACGAACCATCACTGTACTGAAGTCACTGTTAAAATCACACATTTCCTGTTCTCTTTTCAAATTGACTTCTAGACATTCCCATAGAATAGATCACAATGCAGTGCCCTTGAGATTTGAACTACGCCCCTCACCATATTAAAGCCATCCTTTAACAAAATTTGGAGAGTCATAGGTACGGTTTACTACTTTACCATTTTAAAGTTCCCTTTTATAGATTATAGCATTATACACTCCATTAACTAATTTTGCTAATCATTAAAAACAAGTTTTCCTCCAAGTTGAAAAAATTCATTCGACAACTTGACACAACCTCTATTCTAATTAAATGGACAGCCTCCATATATTTAGTGCGCAAACAACACATTACGCAAATTATTCTTACAGCATTATGATCTATCTAGAAATGGCACAAAATTATATACACGTGCAGGGAAGGACAAAAAAACAAAAACCATACAGGAACAATGAGCCAAAACTATTTTATAAGCCAGGATAGGGTTCTTACCTAGACATCAATACACTCCCAAAAACCAAGCCACTAGCAGGTCCTATTTTATGTCCAGATATCACTCTAGAGTAGATATTCAAATAGTTGCTTCATTTCACTATGACTATTTAACATATTAGCTTTTGTTAATACTGAAGACTATACAAGGACTACACTTAGGTTTTAATACACCCAGGCCTAATGTCTAAGCAAGGCTTAGAGCCAAACACACATAGTAAAAGGAATTATAGATACTTCTCAACACATAAATAACAATTTAAATTAAAAATTTGCTTTAATTGCACTGTCATCGTTGAAAGCACCATAAGGGGTGATAAGGAGTTTCTCACGAGTTTAATATATTTGTTTCTGTAGAATGTAGGAGTTTAACGATTTAACAGTGTACATTAATATTAAACCGCTTTCTGTCTGCCAAGTCCTGTTATTTCAAGCAATTTGTTATGGAAGCATTTGGGTCCAACAGTTCTATGAGAATTTGTCCATTCTAAACCATCTCTCTGATTGCATAAACGTTATGGATGTTTGGTAAAAGAGAGATGTTCCAGATGACTGTGCAAAACTATGTAAATCTTTTCCTGTGAGTAAAGCAGCATTTGCAAACTTATTTCATGGTCTAACATTTGGTCCACAGCTTGTAAATTTACGGTCCATTAAACCATCTGCAGGGAAACCAGTTTCATAGTTTACCATACAAAGGCTCTCTAGTAAGAAGTCTTACCTAACCTGCAGCCATGTGATCCCAACATTAAAGGCCCATTCTGGACACCATAACAACTACATTGGAATGAAATTATGGTCCAAAGTGGTCATGGGCACCAGTTTACATGATGGAGTTAAACAGTTTGTTAATATACCTTTTTCACTCCATTTTGCGAATGTGGAAGTGAAGTGAAGTGGCAGCGCAATCAGGGATTTAAGAATTTGGGGTTAAGCCATTCGGGTTTAACCCCTTCAGGAAAAGCAGAACCTGGAACCTCCTTGCACCATTACAACTTTTTTCTGATGAGGTTATGGTGCCCAGTGTGTTCTCTTAACCAATATATAAGTGCTTTTATGATTGCTTGTTGGATTAAACGCATTAATGCATCCACTAAACAGTGAGCTTTCATGAGAGGACAGAAGGAATGGCAACATGCAGGCCATAACACAGCTGGAAAATTCTCCTGGTCAGCGGGATCTTTTAAATTCTCAGTAAAAAAAAAACAACAACAAAAAAAAAACTGTTCCACATGTAACAGTGTTTAAAAGATAAATAAATCTGCCCCCATCCAAAAATAAAGAAATTAAAAAAAAAAAAAAAAAATGCATGTCACATTTTCCATTACAATACTTAAAGCAGCATTCCATAAACCAATCTCCTCCCAACCAAAAAGAAATGAGACCTAGCCCAAATTATTATACAGGAAGTTTGCATTAAAACCAGTTTGGTTGCAATTGAAAGAGCACACATAATTGCCCATTTTGTATGGTATTCACGCAGATCAGCATCTTGGCTTGTGCCAGCATTTATGCTAACAAGACTGCTCTGTCACTTGAAAATGTCTATACAAAAACAGTTTGAAAACCATATTCCCAAACAAACTGATTTTTAGCAAGGCCACTTGATTCAATTATCTTTTTTTTTTATTATTTGAGTGGAATTGACCATCTTAGAAATTCATTTTTCAACCTTTAAAGACAAATAGATGCTTGTGAATAGTGATACGAAAAAAGTTTTTTTTTTTTTTTTTTTTAAAGTAATGTGATGCTGGAAGCCAATCAGAACATTTAATTTCCTCCGTTTTGCAGACTAGCTTTCCGCATTATATTCTAAATGGGATATGGCATGAATTTGGAGAATGATCACAAATGTATTCAACGACAAAAATCTGCTTAACAGTTGTAACGATTGCACAGGCTGTTCAATTTATTTTTATGCAGAATTTCCGAAGGCAGAAATTACAGTCATACCTTGTAGCTCAGTTCTTAACAGGTTTTTTTTCTTTTTAATTAATCATAAATGAGTTGCGTGACATTGCACGCCATATTAAAAATACTTAATGCCACATACATTTGAGGTTGATTGTTAAGGACAGCACGCTGGTATAGATAGCAAAGAGACATAAGACAAGTTGTTTAACATACCCCTTTCGAATGAGGCAAAAGCTTGACTTATTTCTAGGAAATAAATACCTTAGTTTGTTAAAGCATCTCTTCACTTCTGAGTATTTCATAAAGATATATTGGTATGAAATATTCAAAACAACTTTGTTGGAAATTCATTGAAATTCCAATGTAACCCAAAAGTAGGAACTACTTTGTCTTATGGGAAAGCCTGTGGTTGACAAAGAACACAAGCTTCTTCTCAACACCCTCTGTTGCCGTGCGTCCAACCTGTCTTGTTGCAAATACATATCTCTTAGTACACCTATTATACAGTGCTGCGGAATTTGTTGGCGCTTTATAAATAACAAAAGTTGGTGCTTTGCTGTCAACTTTTGTCAAATCCAAGCAGTGGGAATCTGGTATCGTCCTGCTTATCACAAGACTTGATCTATGGAGGCTTGTACAAGAGTACAGCACTGATGCAGCTCCTGGCAGATAAAATTCAAGGAGCTGAAGAAGGCGCTCAAAAAGATGATGGCGGCTCTGGGGGAGACATTTGGTAAGTATAACTACTTCCCTCTGCACCCCAAGAAGACACTGCATCCAAAATATGCAAAGACCTACCTTCTAAAGTGACAGATCTGCTTTAAGTAATAATGCAGATGGAATGTGCATGCAAGAGAATATCTCTGGAAGATCCTACGGTCATGTTGGATTTTCCTCTTTTACCAGTTTCCATTAAAGGGATACTATAGGTTTTAAATCCAGTTTAGCTTATAAAAGTAGTTTTAGTGTATAGATCATGCCGATGCAGCCTCACTACTCTTCCATTTAGGAGTTAAATTACATTTGTTTCTGTTTATGCAGCCCTAGCCACACCTGAAATAACAATTACTGGCAGTCTGCATGAAAATAAATAAAAATGGTTTCATTTTTAAATCAGATGTTTGTGCTTCCTGCTCTGTAAATTGAACTTAAATCACACACAGGACTCCTGCAAGGTCTAGAAGGCTATTAACAGCACAGGAGATCATGCATTCTAAATTAATCAAAATAATAAAGAAATTTAAGCATTAGATGTCACTTTTCAGGAAGTGTATAGGAACTCTGTGCAAATCATATGCAGGGAGGCGTGACTAGGGCTGTATAAACAAAGTGAATTAACTCCTAAATGGCAGAGACTTTAGCAATGAGACTGTAAAGGCGTGATCTATACACCAAAACTGCTTCATTAAGCTAAAAATTGTTTAAGTGACTATAGTGTCCCTTTAAAATAAATAAATGCCAGGTCCACATTAAAAGCTCTTGAATTTACTAGATCTAGAGTGACTGCTGCCTGAGGAGGGCATTTAAACGGTGTTTTAAGATCTGTCCTTAGTATTTTAAACTGTGAATAATCGTTATGAACTCTAAACCAGCATCCTCTGTAAAAATAAGAGCATTCTCCGTCTTGGATTTAATCCCTTGCAATAATCCATTTTAAAATAGATTTATCCTCTCTAATGTTTGATGAAAAATACTTGGAAGCTTGCAATAACCTTCTCTGTCACAATATTACTGTATTCTTTTAGCCACATATTCCTCCAGTACAACTAACAGAAGTAAATTTACCGATTTACAGTCTAATGTTACTATACTCTAGTATGTTTCGCTACATGTTAAAATATATAGTTTGTAATTTTTTCCCCCCCCCATATATATATATTTTTTTTTTGTTATTCTTTCTGAAATGTAAATCCCAATAATATGTTTCCAAACAATGTAAAGTCACTGCTGTATGTCTAATTAGGACTTGGAAAAGTTAGTACAAAGTCTCTACAACTAGATACTGTTTAAGCCTTTAAAGAGTCACTAGCCTTCCCTCTGTCCCCTCCAAACAAAAGATTTACTTCATCCAAAAACAAAAAGGACTCTTTCCTGCCCTAGTATTTAAATTTTTTGTATATATTGGGCATACTTTATAAAAATTACGTTTTGTTTTCTTCCTATTTACACTAAGAAACAGAAAGTGTCTGATAAGACTTTAAAACCTCCTAAGAGAGAAACAAACTTTGTTTTCTTCAACCAGACTCGGCATTGGAGATATCAACATAATAGTTTGCTAATTTTGAGATTCTGGAAAAGTTCTTACAGATCTGAGGGACACTATAGTCACCAGAACAACTACAGCTTAAAGAAGTTGTTCTGGTGAGTTTAATAGCTCCCTTCAGGTATTTCATGTAAACATTGCCTTTACAGAGTGGTGGGTTTTTACTATAGGTCAGGAATACAGGTTTGTGTTCCTGACCCTATAGTGATCCTTTAATGTTTTCTTCTACAAACCTAAATCTAAAGCTTAGTGGCTCTTTCAATGTAATAAATATATAACATGAGACTTTTGCCGACAAATTAGGAAAACAAATAAAATGGTATAATAAATCTATACACCAAACCGGATGACTATAGAAGTACTAAAAGATCGGAACACTTTGCGGTTTATATACCACAAAAATTTACAATTTCAAAGGAACTTCAATATTTAGGATTTGGTGTTTGGGGTGGGATGGTATAGAATGCCGCTTTAAAATAGAATTAAAAGTAATCGAAAGTGATGTTGTGCGTTTGTGGAGGTGTAGTCAAAGAACTAATTGTTGGTTACATACCACCAACTCGTGGAAACGACATACAAGAACTCCAATGGTAAAGACACGCAGCACGGGTAAACAAATGCAGACTGGACCAGAGATGCAGAACAGAGATGCATCCGGCTCACACAATATTTGATCTTACATTCACCCAGTTAATTATGTGCATTTTCTCAATTACGACAGGCACTGTAATTAGCAGCAACAGCATTTGGTGATACATACTCTATACCCCATTTTTCTTTACTAAAAGCAACTCTTTATGTATTCTTGACATGCGTAGTTATGATATACATACATATTTCATTTAAACACTAACAAGTTTATATAGATTTCTATATATAATTTTTTTTTCTTAAAATAAAAATAAAACTTTTTTTTTTTTTAATAGTGCTTCTACACCCAACATACAAAGTCAGCAACCCTTGTGCAAAACAATACATAGTTAAGGGTAGATTTGGTATGTTTAATTGTCCTCTGTTACAAACAGGGGTACTGTATTCTAACTTACGTGTGGTTTAAAATAGCTTTGTTTTTAAAATCAGCCACACATATTGTTTTCTCTTTTGCAAGGAGATGCTTCATAACAATGCAAACTACGTCTAACATTAAAATAATCCTGTCTTAACATTCACCAATATATTTTAATTACCTGACACACACAAAAAAAATATATACTCTTCACTTACGGTATAAACAGTTTTTCCTAGTAGAATGGGCCCCTAGAGAGATGCACCAGTATTTATAAATTAGTTTTGGAGAAGGGAGAAATTTCATCAAAAAGGCAATCGGTGCGGTCAAGCAAAATCTAGAATTACCTCCAACCCCCCCAAGCTTCTTCCACATTAGAACAATTGCAGAAGCAAAATAGAAGATATTACTCCCATTTTTTTAAAGTGTGTGAGTGTATATAATTTTATATATATATATATATATATATATATATATATATATATATATATATATATATATATATATATATATATATATATATATATATATATATTTTTTTTTTACTGGTGCAATCATTTCGTTGACCCATTAATATAGTATTTTTTGTTTCACGTTATATAAATTCCTTGGCTTTAAACTGTTAGTTGTATTACACACTATCATTTACCTTTATTCACCTGTCCTACGGATAACTCTTACCATTAGAGCCTTGCAAATTGTAAATGCATTTCCTATACATTCACAGTAATAAAAGCCCTGTGTACAAGCCTGGCAGAGGTTTTCCTTTAAAATTGGATAGATAAAAATTTCTTTAGATAATGTCTTTTTCTAGGTGTAGAATCTGCATCTATACATCTATACAAGTAGAAATATAGATATATAGAATTTGCTTTGATAGTGCAATTCAAGCCTTACCTAAGGTATTTAAGTGTTGTACTTTGTGCTGATCAAAAACATACTTCTATAGTCTTGAAATCTATTGAAGCAGCTCTAAAGGAGGCTGGTACACTTAGAGTATTTTGTGTTGTAGTTTAGATACTGGATACCAGGCCCTTAAAGTTTAGTTTTTCCTATTGTTACTCTGCTAAAAATCAAAAGCAAGAAAAAAAAAAGGACTCTTGAAAAGACTACAGATTTTGTCTCCAAATTCTTTCTGAAAAATTAAAAATTTGCGAGGCTTTTTTCTCTTTAATGACAGGTGTCTATTCGGGACACTCCTGCTCTTCACTGCTGTCCACACGCACATCCATCTTCTTTTCTTTATGGCTGTTATAAATTTTTCTCATCTCTTCTTCATACTTGATAAAATTGTCTCCGAACCTCGTCCACACTTTGTAAGGGACTGTGATAGTGTTACGGTATGGTGGCCTGACCTCACTCACTCTCAAGAATATGCCATATCGGTTGGAGCCTACATCAAAGTAAAATCTCTTATTATCCACACGAAAAGATGTCCCTTCTGGAAGTTCAGGAGGTTCATCTCCCCCACCTCGTCGTTCTTCAATGTCTCCTTCACCATAGTCTTCAATAAGCTGAACCAACGCATCTCTGAATTCAATCATACCTTGGGCCGGCAGAACTATAGTCTGTTCCTGGCCTAGGCTCTGCCCAAAATATCCAATCATCCCAGGTCCACGTGTCATGGTTTGTCTAATTCTTAAAAAGCGTCCTCGCTGATTCTCTTTAAGGTCCAGATAATATTTTCTGTTGTCACGCTCAATGTATTCTGTTTTTAGAACACTATGAGTTGTGGGCTCTTCTGATCCCACAGATCCTGAAGGGGAAGATGGATGAGGTCGTCTTCTTGCATCATGCTCTTTTTCACTCCCATGTTCTGTTCTTTGAGCATGGCTGCTTCGTAGACCTAGGTGAGCATAGTGCTCAATAAAATCTCCTAAACAGTCCTTTAATTCCGCAGCCACAGACAGAGATAAAGTAAGCTTACTTTTCCGGACATTATCTTGCCTCCCCCTTCCAATCCAGACTTCAGCAATCTTTAAGAAACGTCCTCTAGCGCTCTGTTTGACATCCAAGTAAAACCTCTTCTTTTGAATGTCAACTCTTTTGGATGCAAGCTCTTGTATCTCTAAGTTCTGCGATGAAGGGTAACTATATTGTTGAGGATAAATATTCCTGTTTATACCTGCACCTTCTCTTTGCCCTCTTCCTCTTTCCATATTTAGTTTCTCTTGTCACCTAAAAATGGATTGAAAGAAACGCATGTGAAATTTATGAAGTTTAAAGACTCAAACATTAACCCCTTCAAAACAACGGCATTTTTTAGATTTCTGGACAACACATATCATTTTTATTACTTAAACTGCCATGTCCCTTTCTCAGATTGCACACGAAACCTGTATTCTGTAAACGACGTGTTCAAATTTCAAGTTCTAATCTTCTAGTAAGGTACCTATGTGTCACCATCTCTGTGTCTGTGAATGGCAATTTGAGACATATATATAACATGAATAAAAAAACCATGTGATTGTAAAGGTGTAAATGTGTGATATGCCAGCACGTGACTGCAGAGATGCATCAGTGGCATGTGACTAGGTTAATGTGTGGAGTTATCATGAGTGTGAATGCAGGAGTATATTTGTATGTACTCCACTGGCCATTTCAGTAGCGCATTCCACCATGTAGCCAGTCCACTCCCTCTCCTTTCCTTATATAACTAACCAACTCCTTCCTTCTCATGTCACTATTGCTCATTTCACTAACTCCCCACCATCTGTAATGTCACTAGCCTACTCGCTCTCCCTCCTTCCCTCACTCAAAGCACTTACATCTCCACTTCTCTACTCTGTAAGCTTATGCAGACCTTTCTTATACAGTTGCGGGAGTCTAAAGACAAGAAAGCCCATGACCTTTCCAAGCCAATCACACTTATCCACCTTTTACATCTATCACCACTAAGATTATTTAACGAGGGATACTCAGACAAGAAAAAGGAAAAAACAAGAAAAAACAAATAAAACCACATTTTAAATACAGCTATACAGCATAATTGTTTTACGCTATTAGTTATTGTGCATATGTATGACACCAGTCTATTTGATAATGTAGGTCTAATAATAGACTAGAGCAAAACTTACTAAACAATTTATTCTGAACATAAAAAAAGTAACACTAAAGAGTCCCTCTACCCCCCCACCCCCGGTGGTATGGACCTCAAGGATAAAAAAAAAAAAAACTTTATTTAACCCGATTTTAGTGCCAATTTCCCTCATCACTGGGTTGGACTCTTCCTCCGACCTCTACTGATGATTGGGGCAAACGCGAATGTGCAGAGAGCAATTACCCCATTAGACCATCCCCGTAGGAAAGCCATGAATCAGTGCTTCAATAGGTGGTGCTTGAAGACACTGGACATCTTCATACAGAGCGTGAGGATGTCCAGCGTTGTTTCATGGAGTTAAAATCTGTGAAAGGCCAGGAAACTTTTAGAGGCAGTCCTAATGGCATGGCTAAGGGGACAGGGACACTACACCCAAAACACTTCAATGAGATGAAGTGGTTTGGGTGCCTATAGTGTCCCTTTAAATGGAATTACACACAGAAAAACATTTTTTTTAAAAACAAGAGAACTTAACAGAAAACATATTAATCACTTTAACAGCGAGTCACCAAAGAAAACAATTGTGCAGTCATCAAAATTTACATTGCCTCCTAATTATTAATGATGACTGAGTTAGTTCCATCTCAGATTTACCATGCGAGTCCATCGCAGATTTCCAGCCAATCCCCAGTCAAAGAAAAACACACTCCAAAACCTTTCAACACAGCTTTACCCCAGTTCATACAGGGCTAACATTTATAAGAATATTTCAACTTTTTAGCTGTATGTCCACTGGTTAGAACATTTATGCTTCAGTAGCTCTTCTAATCAAACATAACCTCTTGCATGGTTAGTTATTCAAGCTTAGGTTGTATATTCTGATATTAACATCCAACGGATGAAGTGGAAGAGAGTCTCTTAAGCATTACACAAGTTATAACCCCCTCCTGTGGACATTACCACCCTCCTCGCAGGCGCACCCAATGTTGCGTCACTGGTATGCTGCCCGACTCCACAAGGTCCACCCCCTGGAACATGCCATAAAGAGTGTGGATAAGTCTCATACTGCTGCGAGTTTCAACATAACACAATTCTAATTTATAAAGCTTAAGGCATAGTACTGGTTTGCCCAATACCTCTTTGGAACTACATGCCTATATATACAAACATTTTGTTAATCTACTATTGTAAAATGTAAAAACTGGATATAAGACCTAAAAACTATAAAATAATTATATCCTCTTGGAAATTAGTTAATTTTACTGTTCTTATATAATAAAAACAGTCCATATATTTTTCAACTCTTGCTTCATGATGATCTTCAATTCCCCTTATTAATTTTGCAGCCACCTCTGCACTTTTTTCAATTCCATAAATTCCTGCTTTAAAGCATGTCAACTACAAAATATTAATTTATTTTATTTTTATATTATTAAATTGTTGTATTTTATTTTTAATTTATCATTAATTTTTATTTTAACTTTTGTTTATTAATAAAAAATGTTTAATATATTTATTTTATTTCATATATTATTGTAGCATATAGGTAACCTACAGATTGGTAAAGGCATAGCATGCTACATTTTGAGTGCATTCAGAAGTTATAAACAGCGACAGTTGACAAAAGAAAATACTGGCTACAGCACAGTAAAGCTGTTAAGCAATAAGACACATCAGCTGGGCAACACATTTTGTGATGAGTAGTATAAACGCTGAAACCTTCTGCTTCTAGTGGAGGGTGTGGGGGATAAGTCTCCAGTGAGAGCATGTATATAAGAGCATTTGGTGAAAACGCATATAACAAAAGACTATCGTATAGAAAACAACAAACACAATATCATCTCCAGTGGGTTGATAGGTAAAACAGTGGCAACTGGTGTTGTGAGGAATGTCATAGATGTTTCTCAGGTGCCAGCCGAGTTCTGCTCCACTGCTGCGGGTAAAAGGGTATATTACGCACACCCCACACCTTGGCCGAGGGTTAGGGGTTTGTGCCAGGAGTAGGTTTCAGCAAAGTCTCTGGCGTAGGCAGTCCCAGTGCTTTGAAGAACTTCCCTGCTTCCGACTGTTGCAGTAATTGGATTCTCTTCCCATCGTGGAGCACAGTTAGTTTGCGGCTAGGGTCCCAATATATATATATTACACACACACAGAGATAAAACAAATAAATGGCATACAATATAAAAATATATATAGGGATAAGTGATATATTTGCTTTAGGAGGTATTACATACTTCATGTTCAGCGTTTCAGCACAGCCATTCTGGTCTGTACGTGTTACACAATGTTAAAGTGGCACTGTTATCCCCTACCTGAAAAATCTGTAGTTTATAAAAGATAGAATCTTTATGAAATACTCATTGTAACTGTTGAAATTTCACTGAAATTCCAACCCAGTCAAGAAATATACAGAGACAAAGTAGAGTCTATGGGTCAAGACCTGCAGCCGTCATCGTTGATGGCTGCAGGGAATTGGCTGGGTCTATGGAGGATCCCACGGTCTCGTCCGTAGACCTCAATGTTGTACTTTCACATACAGCAGTAACATTGGCTCCTGTCGCTGAAGCGTGATTAAAATGGTAGCGCCTGCAAGGAACAGGTTTAGGTAAGTAGTTTTCCGTTACCCTCCACCCCCCGGACCACCAGCGGCAATGTCACATGCAACCAACGACGGTGACAGTGCTGCTTTAACAACCTTGTCTTTCTGATTAATTTGTTTTCATCGGGTTATGATCTTTCTTTGCAAAATTTACAGGATTAATCACTAAAGTAATAATTTGAGGCCATGGTATGCGTTCAGAAAGGATAGCGGATTATAGCTTAGCTGTTTCTGCCTTGAATTTGACATTCACTTTGAATTCTCACTTTGGTAAATACACCTGTCCAAAAGCTAAAAGGACAAGTAGGCACTGTGACTGCTTCATCTCACAGTGAAACTCTGCACATACAGACTCCAGGCCCCACGACCACTTCAAATCGTGGTGTTTGGAGTAACCGTTAAAATCTATTTTTTTTAATCCTTATCAAAAAACATTAATTTTAGCTTGTGTCTACGATAGCATCTTTGCAGCTAGAATACCCTGGTGTGTCAACCTGGACAGAAAAATCTTTTAGGAATAAAGGAACACTTTAGTATTAGGAATGAATACAAAACAGTATTCCTAACACCAAAGTGTTCCTCTGCCCCCACCCCAGCAAATAAAGGGCTAAAAGAAATTTAAACACTCACCATATTCCAGCGATGAGGTCCCCCGGTGCTAGTTTCAACTCCCAAGGGGAACCTAGTGCACATGCACGGCGAATGGAATCGTTTCACGGAGTCAAACTCCATGAAACAGCACAACACGCCTCTAGCGGCTGTCTGGTAAACAGCCACAAATGGCAGTCTTAACCCTGCAGTATAAACATTGCTGAACAAGGAAGCCTCGGTGCCACCGACTAGCTTCACTAGTTCCAATGGATTGAGAAAAATATTTTGTGAAAAGAGAGCAGCATCAGCAGAGTTCTAAGCCCATCAGCCGCTCCCATGTCCAAGACTTCCTCATTCAATTCTCGGAGAAAAGCAGAAGGAGAGGGGCAGAACTGGAACTGAACTCAACACTTTGGGGTTAAATCGTTCATTACCAGTTTAACCCCTAAAAGGTATGCCAGCACCAAGCATCTTCTGGCACCATAACAACATCATTTTGATGAAGTTGTCATGGTGCCTCAAGTTTCCCTTTAACCTTTGCCACACTTTTATTGTCATATGATTTTGTGATTGTTGTAGTAGACAGTGCACTTCCATATGATGTAATCTGCCCTGGAGCTCTTTAAGATAGATAAAATTGACAATGCAAATTCCACATTAACTCCTAAGGAGGGAGCAGAGAGGCATGGAGTGCCCTGGATTTTGTCAAACTGTTCCCAGAGCACTATTCCTGGCACTATAGCTTCTTCTGCCTCCCCCCTCCTGCCACGGTAAATAAAAGCTAAAAACCATTTACTTACCTGACCCAGCGCCAAGGTCCCTCGGCGCAGGGTCCCAGCTCAGCATCCTCTGATGTCCCTCAATGAGCAAACGCTAGCGCACATGTGCAGCCAGTGCCTTGCGCGCATTAGGCCTCCCCATAGGGGAGCGTAAGGATGTGCAGCGTTAGTTACTGGACCAAGAGTTCAATAGGATCCTGGAAGCACCTCTCGTGGTTGCCAGGTAGACAGCAATTGGGGGCAGACTTAGTGCTACAATGTAAACATTGCAGTTTCTCTGGAACTGTGATGTTTAACATTGCAGCACTAAGTGCAATAGGGACACTAGACCCAGATCACTTCAATATATTGTCACTTTAAGAAGGCAACAACGGAATCAATATATAATGACTTGAATTGTTTGCATTAATAGCATCCTTTCAAAGTCAACATAAAGAACTTTTGTATTTAAATCAGAATATTAACCCCTTAAGGACACATGACATGTGACATGTCAGGATTCCCTTTTATTCCAGAAGTTTGGTCCTTAAGGGGTTAAAGGGACACTATAATCACCAGAATGACTACAGCTTAATGTAGTTGTTCTGGTGAGTATAGTCAGTCCCTGCAGACATTTTTATGTAATCATTGATTCAATGTATCTCTATAAAGGAGATGGTAATTGGCAAGCAATGCATTTGGCTCTGCCCCCCGCCCCGCCTCCTCGGCTGAGATCATCAGAACTGACAATCTCAGCCAATCCAATTCTCTCCTATGAGCCAAGGAGACGAATTGGGGGACGTGCCATTGTGGACAGATCTGCACAACGCGGGAAAAAAGGTATGTTTTTACCCTATTTCCTAGTCATTCATTTGCCAGAACCGGTACAATAATGTTTACAATTTTGAAAATTATGGAGGGCTATGATAACTAAAACTACAAAACTGCAATTTTAGCTTAAATAGTGCAATTTACTATTTAGCAGAGAAAATCATTGGTCTATATATAGTGTAAATAATCACAACAGGCACCAAGACCACTTTATCTCAATAAACCAGGTGCTGCAGTACACACAAACACACCTCTAGTGGCTGTCTTCCTTCCTCAGACAAACGTCATCAAATGTTAATCAGTGGATTCAATGCTTCCCCATGAGGGGTATTTGAATGGATGAGCAAGGTTCTCACTGCACATGCGCTTTTTATCCCCAATGCTTCTCTGTGAGAAGTACTGGATTGGACGAGAAGGCAAAGGTGAGAAAGCCTACAGGATGGCATCCCAGAGGTGAAGATAGCAGCAGCAAGGAGTGTGTCTTGTAAAACCCTTAATTTCCACCTTAATTCATTTTTTTAAAATGTCATCTTCATTTCACTCCACCCAAGTCTAAATCAGTGAGTAACTGTAGTTTTTATATACCTAACACTATAGTTTTCCTTTCATGTTGAGCAATTTTATATTATTCAGTCCATAGTAAGTCCTTCATGCATATCCTTACTTAGCAAGTGGCTATTAAAAAGAAAAAACAAAACAAAAAAGACAAAAAAACATTTAAATGTTAAAGATGTATAATGGAAAAGGGCAAGTATTTGAAAACATGTACTGCCACAAGCAATAAACCATCATTTGGGCCCTTGGATGCAATTTGTATGGGTTACTGTAATGATACATGCACTCTCTTCGTTTTGCTGTTCACCTCGGCTGACCCTTGTCTGATCTAAACCACCATTCTTACTCATCAACGCAGCTTTCAGATGTATTTTGTTTTATTAATGTACTATCAGCACCATGTGCCGGTAGAATTGTCTTGTGTTTATATAGAATAGAATACTGCAGAGGTGAAGAGTACGGTAGACAGACGACTCAATCTGTAAATGAATCCAGCGCACACACAGTGCATTCAGGAGGGGGGGGAGGGGAAGGACAGTTCATCCCTGAATACGGAAAAATACAGTGATATTTTTACATCAAAGAGAAACGAGGGTGTCAAAGTGAAGACGTTTAAAATATACACTATTAACCCTTAAAACAATGGAACGGTCCGGCCAGTTTCTGGGATGTTCATAAAAACGCATTAGCGAGGCATGGTATAGGTCTCTGCCTTGGATTAAATAAGGACACAGAGCTAATTTGACTACTGGTTGCTAGGGAGATGTGTGATTATTGGCTACATGCTATTTTTACAATGGTATTATAATTACTAATATTAACCGCTCACTAACGTGCGTAACGTCAGCTGTTTTATTTATATATTTTCTAATATAAAAAGGAAACTGAGATGGTTTATGGCAAACAAATATATTGCTAATTCCCAGCACATTCATTTTTACTATAATTACAACACCAGTTAGTCTACAACAACAAAAAAACATGTTCTGCATGCTTCCACGACAAAGTCCAGTTATTTAAAATAAATCTATTAATTGATTTAATAGATCAAAACACAATTATTTGTTGTGCATAATGAAGCAGTATAACATCATCTGTTGTATATACGCAATCTACAGCCATAGTCCTTATAGTACGTGCGCATGAGAACAGTGCTGGAGGCAGTTGTCTATGCAGTAAATGGTGGTGAATAAATATATCAGGGCCATACAGTGTTGATTAAATGTCCACCTGTATTCGGTGCGTGGAACAGTCAAGTGCTATTGGTAAAGAATGTTAACCATACACACAGCAATGAAAATTGCACAGCAGGCAGACAGAAAAAATAATTTAAACAAACAACTTTCTCCTCTTCCCAAACTGCTGAATGAAATGTAGTTCTTCTGGAACCATTACTTTTTCCCCAGGATATTTTGTATAAACATTAAAGCAAAGACACGGTTAATCATACAGTGCATTTATAATGCATGTGTTTTGCTCTTAAAAAATATGTAAATGTTTTTTCATAAGCATAGAACACAAACATATACCAAAGCATTTTGCAATGGGCCTATATGCTGTAGTTTTGATAAGGCATCATTTAACTTAAAGGAACACTATAGTCACCAAAACAACCTTAGCTTAATAATGCAGTTTTGGTGTATAGATCAAGCCTATGCAGTCTCACTGCTTAATTATATGCCATTTAGGAGTTAAATCACTTTGTTTATGCAGCCCCAGGCACGCCTCCCTGCATGTGACTTGCACAGCCTTCCTAAATACTTCCTGTAAAGTCATCTAATGTTTACATTTCCTGTATTGCAAATTCTGTTTATTTTGGAATTTCGTATCTCCGCCTCTGTTAATAGCTTGCTAGACCCTGCAGGAAGCTCTTGTATGCAAATAAAAGTGCAAATTGCAGAGCAGGAGGAGCATTTAAAGTTAGTTAACATCTGATTGAAAATAAAACCATTTTTGTTTTCATGCAGGCTGTGTTAGTCACAGCCAGGGGAAATGTGGCAGGACCTGCATAAACAGAAACAAAAGTGATTTTACTCCTAAATGGCAGATGATTGAGCAGTGAAACTTCAGAGGCATGATCTATATACAAAAACTGCTTCATTAAGCTAAAGCTGTTTTGGTGAATATAGTTACATTTAAATAAATATGTAAATGTTAGTTCATAGAGCACGAACACATTACCATACAACTTTACAATGGGCAGTTCTATATAGTGTAGTTGAGGAGGTAAAAGAGTTTCAACTGTCTATTTCCTGAATAGTATTAATGGACCACTATAGGCACCGAGACCACTTCAACGAAGTGGTCTGGTTTCCATGTCCCTCTAGTGTTAACCCTGCAGCTGTAAATATAGCAGTTTCAGAGAAACTGCTATGTTTCACTGAGGGTTAATCCATTCTTCACTGACAGCCACTAGAGGCGCTTCTGCGCTTCTCACTGTGAAAATCACAGTGAGAAGATGCTGGACGTCCATATGAAAAAAAATTGAGAAATGCTTTCCTATGGACAGATTGAATGTGCGCGAGGCTCTTGCCGCACCTGCGGCGCTGATGTCAGCAGGAAGAGGAGAGTTCCCCAGCGCTGGAGAAAGGCAAGTGTTTTAACCCCTTCGGCCCAGCAGGAGTGGGACCTAAAGACCCTATACTGCCAGGAAAACTAGTTTGTTTTCCTGGCACTATAGTGGTCCTTTAAGTTGTATTTTTTTCTTCTTCCATTTTTGGATTTGTAGAAAAGTCAAAAGAGAACTTACAAAGCTGCATGAGCAACATCGATAAGGCATTATGTAACTTCAAACTTTTCAAAGGCGTTTACGATCAGTTATTAAAAGAACGCAGGTCCTCAAGTTCTCTATTATCCAACTAGGCATGATGCAGGACAATTAGTATTTGTAAAACTATGAGCTATCAGGAAAAAAAAATAAAAAGATGTGTTTAAGAAAGGAAAATATATATAAGTTCCACTTTTACGCCTATACAGCAGAACTACATATCTCAAGTGAGGTACGTAATGGGTTACACATACCAATTATCCAATGCAAGTCATGCACCAGTTCTCAGTGTCATCAATATCCCAGAGTCAACGACAGCTGTTTTTCTTAGATAAAAAATACAATTTAAAATTTATTTATTTATTTATTTTTTTTAAATCAATCAATTCGGCATCCTCACAATCTTCAAAACAATTGGCACACTGCATCTCACAGGGGAGATCACTCCTAACATATGGTCTACTGCCAAGGGCACTGCTGTAGCAAAAGAATGATGCAACGAGGAATGGACTAGCACCTATTATAGGGCTCTACATATACAAGCACCAGTTTACCTAGATATTATGCATCCTAATTTCTCGTAGGTGACACTAAGCAAACCTTTCTGGGCTTAAACTATATAAGAAAAAAAAAAAAAATCATCTTGGCTTCTTTTGCAGTTTCTTCAACGTTGCCGTGGGAAACTGCCATTTCTACTGGGCTATACCTGGCTGTGTGCTGTGTTAATGTAAGACCCGACAGTGTGTTAATGCAGTAAGAAACATAGCATGCTTGGCTCTCGCAGTTACAGGCCAGATAGAACGTTAAAATAAATCAATTTAAAAACATGCAGCTTTACACAGTAACGTGAACAAGGCTACAAAATCCAGCAATCTGATTTTTTTTTGTATTTGAAAGGCCTATGCTAAATCATGTGATGTACGCATGTACACCAGCAGGCTATGCCAAACAGCCCAGTGCCAGCCACCACCGAAGCTGCCCCTTTTCTCTATTGGCACTGCAAACCACTGCAGCATGTGATACCACCTCCAATTATGTCCACCTCACCCTCACGTTTAAGAATAACAATTCTGCTTCACGAAAAGGCATAGCTGTAAAAACCTGCACCACAGTACCATAAAGACCTCTTTTTTGCATTTTCTGATGTTAATGGTTAAAAGGAGTGTGGGTGCCATTATGGTGCTGAGTGTAGATAATGTATGAGACATGGGTTCCATTTGCAATATGAGCAATGTGTGTTATAGATGCCATGTGTATGGGATAGTAATGGGCGTCATAAACCCCCTTTTTTAAAAAAAAAATTCATGTCAACTGCTAAAAGGAGTGTGGGCGCCATTATGGCGTTGTACGGATTGTGGATACTGTATGAGATATGGGTTCCACTTGCGTGTAATGTGTGTTATAGATAACGTGTGTGTGTATGGGATAGTAATGGGTGTCATGTCGCACATGAATCATAAGACTGAGTGAAAATGATTACGTAATCCCCAATGTGAAAAAAAAACAAACAAAAAAAAAAAACAGACCAACTTTGTCAAACTTTAACATACTACATGCTCTCTACCTGTTGTATCGGTCTGTTCTTATTGTGTTGTCTTTCCCAAGTGTACCCTGCTGCGGAATATGTTGGCGCTTTATAAATGCCAGTAATAAATAACATGCACACCACAGGTTAATTCAACGATACTGCACGCACCACGGCTATTTTACCACACGCACAGGCATGGGTTAGTCTGAATTAAGACTGTGCAAACACTTGCACTGCTTATTAAAGCGTATATTTATTTTTTGTACAATACAGACACCTGGATAAGGTAATGCAAAATTGCACTCACCCAGATTATTCTGTTAAAAATGACTCCATTATCTGGGATCACCACGATGGCAGAGTGCACTGCACTTGGCCAGAATTGTTCTGCAAAATCATGTGCATTTCGCCGGTGCTCTTTTTATATAAAAATTTTGAGGTGTTTGTCGTGGTCGTTGTCACTGTATCGCGCTGCATTTGCCAAGGTCATTTTACTTTCTCTGATTACGTTGAGCTGCACTCCCTTAGGCTGATGTGTCCCTATTTATCCGCTGCAATTTCTTTTACTCTAATTGAATTCTCTTTTCGTGCTTTTAATAAATACCACCCTGTGCAGATCCTATACTATTTGCACGACCTGAGGTAGCGTTGCAGTGCTGCGCTCCTCCCCTATTGCAGAGCTATATTCTAGGATGTGCTGCACTCTCCGATCCAAGCAGCACACGCTGAATGCTCTGCACAGAAACTAGATGCTCTGCAGCACACAGAATGCTCTGCAGCACACAGAATGCTCTGCAGCACACACTGATTGCTCTGCAGCACACACTGATTGCTCTGCACAGAAACGAGATGCTCTGCAACACACACTGAATGTTCTGCACAGAAACTAGATGCTCTGCAGCACACACTGAATGTTCTGCAGCACACACCTAATGCTCTGCACAAACACAGATTGCTCTGCACAGAAACTAGATGCTCTGCAGCACACACAGATTGCTCTGCAGCACACACAGATTGCTCTGCACCCTGTGGTCCTGTGTTAGGGCTCAGGGCGTAGTCCTACCCCCCATGTACCATGAAGAAGCAGCTCCTTCCCTCCTCCATACAGTGTTGCAGGGGATGCAGGGTTTGCAGCATCCTCCCTCCCTCCCCGCTGCCATGGCACCCAGAGCATCCACTCACCTCCCCCCCGTCACTTCATTGCTCCGGACCCAGCAGCTCTGTCACGGCGGCTCTCCCCGGACCCATCGCCAGCCAGCCTGCCTCCCGTGCGCCGCGCTCTCTCACCGGTCAGGCCGTCAGCGGCGTGAAAGGCTTCCGCCTCCGTTATGTCATCCCGCGACCGGCGTCCGTGACGTCACAGGCGGGGGGCGGGATACAGGGATGGAGGGAGGTGGGGGAGATACAGGGATGGAGGGAGGTGGGGGGGATCAAGGGATGGAGGGAGGTGGGGGGGGGATCTAGGGATGGAGGGAGGTGGGGGAGATACAGGGATGGAGGAGTGGGGATCAAGGGATGGAGGCAAGTGGGGATGTGCAGGGGATGGAGGGAGGTGGGGAGATACAGGGAGGGAGGGGAGGTGGGGGGGATACAGGGAAGGGGGGAAGTGGTGGAGGGATTACAGGGATGGAGGGAGGCGGGGATACAGGGAAGGGGGTGGTGGAGGGATTACAGGATGGAGGGGAGGTGGGGGGAGATACAGGGAAGGGGGTGGTGGAGGGACACAGGAGGGAGGGGAGATACGTGGATGGAGGGAGGTGGGGGATACAGGGAAGGGGGTGGTGGGAGGGATACAGGGATGGAGGGAGGTGGGGAGATACAGGGAAGGGGGTGGTGGAGGATACAGGGATGGAGGGGAGGTGGGGATGGAGGGGGGATACAGGGATGGAGGGGAGGTGGGGAGATACAGGGATGGAGGGGAGGTGGGGGATACCGGGATTGAGGTGGGGGGGATCTAGGGATGGAGGGAGATACAGGGATGGAGGGAGGTGGGGGAGATACAGGGATGGAGGGAGGTGGGGGGGGGGGGGATACAGGATGGAGGAGGTGGTGGGGGGGATCAAGGGATGGAGGCAGGCGGGATGCAGGGATGGAGGGAGGTGGGGGGGACTGGGATGGAGGCAGGCTGGGGATGGAGGGGAGGTGGGGATACCGGGATTGAGGGAGGTGGGGGATCTAGGATGGAGTGAGGTGGGGGATGCAGGAGGGAGGGAGGTGGGGGAGATACAGGGATGGAGGGAGGTGGGGGGATACAGGGAAGGGGGGTGGTGGAGGGATACAGGGATGGAGGGAGATGGGGGAGATACAGGGATGGAGGGTGGTGGGGGGATGGACGCGCTAGACCGCAAGGCGCTGATGAAAATGTTTGGCATTGCGCCACCAACCCAGGCCACCATAAGTATGCCACGCATTCCAAGTGGCGTCCTGGTAACAAAACCCTTGCCGGGCAGTGCTGGGGAGCCCTCGCCCCAATCACGCTCTCCAAGATAGCAAACCCCGAACCCAATTCCCCAACTACTTAGGAATTTCGTATAACGGAACTTTACATCACCGTCGTCCGAGTCCTACCCTTCCTTGTGCCCCAAGGGATGAGCACCCTCCAAGGGCCAAAGGGGGATATCCTGCGCAACTGCACAGGGGAGAGGGGGCGCAGCCCCCAAAGAGGAAGAGGACCCACCCCCCCAATTGTCGCGACAGGAAGGTACCACACTGAGCGCGGCTGACCGTTCAACTTTTTTTTTTTTTTTTTTAAATAGTTATTTATTTTTTTCATTATTTTTATTTATTTATTTATTTATTTTTTGACAACTCCAACATGAACCCGCCTAGCGCAGGCGCCCAGCCAGCGCAGGAAGACATGACTTACCTGACGGCACCCCAGGAACTGCTGGCGGCACCATAGTAGAGACAGCAGCTTGAAAAGAGGAGTCCATCACCTGCAGCGCAGTTCCCATGGCAACTGGAGCGTCACACGCCACCTGCTGGATGGATCCGGCAACTGAACCCAAAGCCTGAAGCAGCAGTGGAGAGATGAAGGGCCAATGCTCCAGGACAGGAGGCTGCCGAGACAGGTAAGGAGAGGGGGGTTGGGGGAAGGGAGGAGGGTGGAAGGGCAAAGAAGGTCAGCAAGGAGGAGGGGGGGACAATAAAGAAAGAGGGGGGAACAAAAAGAAAAGGGAGGAACCAACAAAAGGAATATATAAACTTGCTTTTCTTTAATTATGATTTTTCTTACATCTCCTCTGCACCAGGGTTCTTAGGGCGAAACCATCACTTCTCTAAAAATTACATTACTGAACAAAATCACTGAAATTCACCTATAACTTGTGTTAAGGGAACAATATAGGCACCCAGACCACTTAATTTCAATGAATTAAGTTTTATGGTGCGAGGAGGTCTCGACCTGTGACCTACCTCCAGGGGTTAAACTATTAATAAACTTGTGAGTCCTCTGCAGTGGGAGGGGGTTGATGAAGAGACCCTAAAGATAAGGAATAAGATATGCAGATGCTGGGAATAAGACATGCAGAAGGGGGGAGTGAGACATGCAAGTGGGGAGTAAAAACTATAAAAGTGGAGCTAGAGACAAAAATGTGTGTAAGATACAGAAAATCGCAGTTAAGTGGAAAAAAGGGGGTTAAAGGTGTAAGAAACACCCCAGGTTCCAAGTAAACTACGTCCACCTATGTAATCGGCAATATACTAAATAAAAATTAATCCCTGGTGGTTCAGTGATGGTGTCTATGGTCTGCACCTCCGGCTGGTCTTGCATCTCTGAGGAAATCAGAAGACAACCACCGGGATCCTAGCCTGCACTCTGACTACCTCACTAATCACCAGACCAGAACGGACAATTTATACAGCCTGGACCAGGTGAAAAACTAGACCATACACTTCACCACTAGACCACAAGGGATTCATTAACCCCTCCCTCCCCCCATCAGGCCACCAAAATTCATATCACTATGTGTTATATAGGTGAGGAGCTCTGTGATACCATATTAGGCACCTTACTGAGAGTTTTACTGTGGAGGAGCTTTTTGATACACTTATTGCGAATTACTGCAAGTTTAATAATTGTGGAGCTCTGTGATTATATGATACACACCACTTGTTACTGTGAGTTTTTTGCTGTGGAGCTCTATGATACGCTTATGCCTCGTTTCCACTGAGCGGAACGGTTCAGGTCGGTTTGGTATGGTACGCTATTTTGAGTGTTTCTATTATGAAAGTGGCCCATACAACCGAACCGCACCATTCCTGGTCCCCCTTCAGATGAAGGTCCATCGGAAATGGTACAGTACGGTTAGGGCGGAGCTACTAGCGTCACACTATACAATCCATTGATTGGCGGACAGGAAAACGTCAATGCTCACGACAAATGACACGCTAGGCATTTGGTCTAAACCCCGCATGGCCCCTGCCGGTCCGACTTGCAGTGGAAACGCTCATCTGAATAGGCCTCCAAACTGTACCAACCCAAACCGTTCCGCTCAGTGGAAACGAGGCATTATATACACCGCATATTACTTTGAGTTTTAATAACCAGAAGGTCGAGGCTTATCCCATAGTTGTAGTCCACAACAAAAATCTCAAAGTAAATGGGAAAAACCCAGAGCTTCAAAGCAATACAACTCACGGTATTGTGTGACATAGACGAGTATCAAGAAGCTGCAAAGAAAGAATATTTTTATTTGTATGTGGTGCCTCTATGTAAATGTACTGTAAGGAAAACAAAAAAATGAACATTTTATTTGTAATTTGTTGCATTTGTCCAAATACGAATGCAAATTCAAGAGTCAAGGAACAGGAGCAGACTGACTTTCCCACCCTGGTTTGGGTTGTTTATGGTTTAGTGTCTTTTTGTGTTTCTGTTTTGTCACAGCTTGACGAATCCTGGACAGCGCAGAGGGAAAAAGGATAAGACGAAAAGTCGCTTTGGGGAGATGACAGCCTGCACCGGAGCTGATGGCAAGGCTTTTGGAAAAAGGTCGGAGAAATGTCTGTTGGGCATCTGCTCAACAGCTGACAAGGTTTTGGATAATGTTAAAGATTCCCTCTAGAATGTAAGCTCATTGAGCAGGGCCCTTCACCTCTCTGTTCCTGTACTTCCAGTTGTCTGGTTACAATTACATGTGTTTTAGTCCACCCATTGTACAGCACTATGGAATCTGATGGCGCTATATAAATAAATAATAAAATATTAATAAATATTTTAATAAAGCTGTGGCATTTGCCCTTATCCACTAAAGAAGGTGTCCGGTGTATTATTGGGGGGCAACGATGGTTATCTCAGTTATGGGTCAGCAGTCATGTAAATCTGGTAGTGGTGAAATTAATCAATCCCCTTACCACTCTTTGCTGTTTGCTGGCTGGTGAAGGCTTAAATTAGGGGCTCAGTTCCAGGAGAATGTGCCTGGTCAGTGATCATAGTTCATAATCCTTTGAGTGATGTGAGATACAGTCCATATCATTACCTTTTTTTCTTTAAGATAATTTTATTAGATTTATGAAAACAAGATACATAACATTGTGCTCCACCATTAATGACATTTGATACAATAAGCAATTTACATTTTTGTTGGAGAAATTCCATTTTCTTCATCCCCATCTCAATTCAGTAGTCAACGCGGGGAACCAAAGAAACTGTCCATGTGACAGGATTGTAAAGTGAATCAAATAGATTATATATGTGACGTTCCATTGTTATAAAGCAAACTAAACAATAACACAAGAATATTTAACTGTACATTTGGCCATAATAAAGCTCGACTGTCCAGGTGTTAATATGAGTAAATAATATAATAAAGAATACAAGTATACCTTAACCCTCCAACTTTAAACTCAGGGCTAATGGAAACTGATATGGTGGAAGAGAATAATAAACTCCATTATCCTTAGTAAATAATAAACAATTTAATTGCATTAAAGGAACGCTATAGGCACCCAAACCACTTCAGATCATTGAAGCGGTCTGGGTACAACGTCAGCTGTTGCACCTACAGGTGATAGTTGAAAAATTAGAATATTGTGCAAAAGTTAATTTATTTCAGTAATGCAACGTAAAAGGGGAAACTAATATATGAGACAGACGCATTACAAAGCAAAATAGTTCAAGCTGTGATTTGCCATTAGTGTAATGATTATGGCTTACAGCTCATGAAAACCCCAAATCCACAATCTCAGTAAATTAGAATATTACATGCAATCAATAAAACAAGGAATGTACATAGAACATCGGACCTCTGAAAAGTATAAGCATGCATATGGACTCAGTACTTGGTTTGGGCACCTTTTGTAGCAATTACTGCCTCAATGCGGCGTGGCATGGAAGCTATCAGCCTGTGGCACTGCTGAGGTGTTATGGAAGACCAGGATGCCTTAATAGTGGTCTTCAGCTCTTCTGCATTGTTCAGTCTCATGTCTCTCATCTTTCTCTTGGCAATGCCCCATAGATTCTCTATGGGGTTTAGGTCAGGCGAGTTTGCTGGCCAATCAAGCACAGTAATCCCACGGTCATTGAACCAGGCTTTGGTGCTTTTGGCAGTGTGGGCAGGTGCCAAGTCCTGCTGGAAAATGAAGTCAGCATTCCCATAAAGCTCGTCTGCGGAAGGAAGCATGAAGTGCTCCAAAATCTCCTGGTAGACGGCTGCGTTGACCCTGGACTTAATGAAGCACAGTGGACCAACACCAGCAGATGACATGGATCCCCAAATCAACACAGACTGTGGAAACTTCACACTGGACTTCAAGCATTTTACAGTGTGTGCCTCTCCATTCTTCCTCCAGACTCTAGGTCCTTGGTTTCCAAATGAGATGCAAAAGTTGCTCTCATCAGAAAAGAGGACTTTGGACCACTGAGCAACAGACCAAGTCTGTTTTTCTTTAGCACAGGTAAGACGCTTCTGATGTTGTTTGTTGTTCTGGAGCGGCTTGACAAAAGGAATACAACATCTGAAGCCCATGTCCAGGATCCGTATGTGTGTGGTGGCTCTTGATGCACTGACTCCAGCCTCAGTCCACTCCTTGTGAAAGTCCCCAACACATTTGAATGGCCTTTTCCTCTCCAGGCTGTGGTCATCCCTACTGCTTGTGCACCTTTTACTTCCACGTAACTTTCTATTAATGTGCTTTGATACAGCACTTTGGAAACATCCAACTTCCTTCGCAATTACCTTTTGAGGCTTCCCCTTCTTATAGAGGGTGTCAATGATGGATTTCTGCACAACTGTCAGGTCAGCAGTCTTCCCCATGATTGTGATTTCTATTGAACCAGACTGAGAGACCATTTAAAGGCTCAGAAATCCTTTGCAGGTGTTATGGCTTACTTAGTTGATTAGAGTGGGACACTGTGAGCCTAGAATATTGCATCTTTTCACAATATTCTAATTTACTGAGATTGTGGATTTGTGGTTTTTATGAGCTGTAAGCCATAATCATCGCACTTAGGACAAATCTCGGCTTGAACTATCTTGCTTTGCATGTAATACGTCTATCTCATATATTCCCCTTTTATGTTGCATTACTGAAATAAATGAACTTTTGCACGATATTCAAATGTTTCGAGTATCACCTGTAGTGCTGCAATGTAACATTGCAGTTTCAGAGAAACCACTGCCACTGGAGGTGCTTCCTGGATGGAAACGGACCTTTGGTCAGGTATCTTACGCTGGACATCCTCAGTGTCAGATTTTTTGAATCAATGCTTTCCTGTGGAGAGGACTAATGCCCGGGCTGGATGGAGAGGAAAGGGGTTAAACTTACCTTTTTTCCAGCGCCGGGTGGGGAGCTCTCCTCCTCCTCTTCGGCTGAATGCGCATGCGCGGCAGGAGCGCACGAGCTGTGTGCGCATTCAGCCTGTCTCATAGGAAAGCATTCATAATGCTTTCCTATGGACGCTGGCGTCTTCTCACTGTGATTTTCACAGTGAGAAGCACGCAAACGCCTCTAGCGGCTGTCAATGAGACAGCCTCTAGAGGCTGGATTAACCCATTTATAAACATAGCAGTTTCTCTGAAACTGCTATGTTTATAAAAAAAGGGGTTAATCCTAGAAGGACCTGGCACCCAGACCACTTCATTAAAGCACCACTATAGTGCCAGGAAAACATACTCGTTTTCCTGGCGCTATAGTGCCCTGAGGGTGCCCCCACCCTCAGGGACCCCCTCCCGCCGGGTTGGATGGAGAGGAAAGGGGTTAAACTTACCTTTTTTCCAGCGCTGGGCAGGGAGCTCTCCGCCTCCGATCCTCCTCCTGGGCTGAATGCGCATGCGCGGCAAGAGCTGCACGCGCATTCAGCCGGTCTCATAGGAAAGCATTTGCAATGCTTTCCTATGGACGCTTGTGTGTTCTCACTGTGATTTTCACAGTGAGAAGCACGCAAGCGCCTCTAGCGGCTGTCAATGAGACAGCCACTAGAGGATTTGGAGGCTGGATTAACCCATTTTTAAACATAGCAGTTTCTCTGAAACTGCTATGTTTATAAAAAAAGGGGTTAATCCTAGAGGGACCTGGCACCCAGACCACTTCATTAAGCTGAAGTGGTCTGGGTGCCTAGAGTGGTCCTTTAAGCTGAAGTGGTCTGGGTGCCTAGAGTGGTCCTTTAAGCTGAAGTGGTCTGGGTGCCTAGAGTGGTCCTTTAAGGAATAGGACAAATGTATTGTCATTGTACAACTTTAAATACCATGGGATCCTAAATTAATTCAGACATAACATATGCATTCACGGTAACTCAGTTTAATTATGTAACGTGTACAGAATGAAATTTAAGCCACTTAACCCCTTCATGATAGATGATTTACCAAGACTGTCATGGCATAAAACGATGTACCTAATTCAAAGTCTTACTATATTTAGCTAATTCAGTAGGCTGCAGGGAACATTTTGTAACAAAGCATGCAGAACTGAGATCAATGAAGAACTATTGCTAGTCTTAGCAATTTAAAGTTAATGGTTTATATCCTAAGCAAACTAAGAGTTTCACATACTAACTCGGAGAGGGCATAGTCATTGCAGTTTAATTTTATTTTTAGCACTTCTATATATACCTACAGTACAATAACATTTTTATAAAACAATATAGGCATGCAGTGCATCTTCATTGAAATATACAGATCAATTTACTAAGGTATGGTAAAATAGTAGTTGGTTTTGCAGTGTTTATAAATGTATTTCAATATTACTACTATAAAACTGATGAAACATTTGATGTATAAACATCAAAGAAAATGACAATGATACCTTCTAATTGTAATTTTATCAGCTTACAAATATTATTATATGAACACTGATATCATTATTTTATAATTACTATACATATATAACGTTAAAGGGATTCCCTTCTCTTTCTCAGTGAAAGAATATATGACCCAATATGATTCCTTGAGCGCCATTTTTGGAGGACATGTGGAAAAGGATAGGATAGTTGTCATTGATGATTGAGACAGGAGAGAGAGAGGAATGCCAAGGACATGCAGTTTAGATAGTGAAGTAAGAGAGACAGAACACAAGGGCAGAAGCAGACGTAGCAGACAGACAGAGCAAGAGCAAGTAGCTTAAAGAGGCACTGTCACCGTCTGGGGACTTTGCTATATTTGCCACATGGTGACATCGCTGCTGGCGGTCAGGGGGCAGATAAAGGTGAGATTTACTTACCTCAGTAGGTTCCTTGCAGATGCTGTCTCTGGGTCCTATTCAGTTGCTGGAATACCGACGTAACTGCGGTACTCTCGCTCATGCACAAGAGGACAGCATTCAGTTCTATGGAAGATCCTGCGGTAGACAAAGCCAATTCCCTGCAGTCGCCAATGGTCCCTAACTTGTCTCAGTATGTCTTTTGATTTGGTTGGAATTTCAGTGAGATTCCAACACAGTCAAAATGAGTATTTCATAAAGATTTTTTCTTTATTAAATACTCATTTTGCTTGGTGGGGTTCGGAGGGGAGGGGGGTGGTGACACTGCCACTTTAAGAAGAAATGACAGAGCAGATAATTATGGCAAATTTGAGCCTGGGAAGCAAGCAATTAAAAGAGCTCTATGTGGATTGTTCTAGCTCAGTAGTCTCTGTAATATATGGGTTTGACTACAGAGGCTGCTGAAGTTGCAATGTGTCATATCATATTATATATGCGGTTTATTCACACATGATAAAGGTTTATTGCTGATAATTATGTACTTTATT